TCATAAGAAAGTCAAGAATATAATGATATTACAGTCGTCAAATAAAGGCATAATAACAACAAGAACCGATGTTTAATATCAGTCCTTGATTTTCTTTCTTTTTTTTTCAGTCCTATACATGCAACGATACATATTTCCTATACAGCAGAACAACAGTAATAAGAAATTCGTGTAAGTAGTTTATCCATAATAGAAAAGAAAAAAGCTTCTCCATTTGTGTAAGTAGTAAATAATCAAGAATAACTCATACACGGTTGAATTTCGCACAGATATTATATGTTTGTGATATCTAATTTGCAGATATACTGATGTGTACTAAGCCACTTCCACCAATTCTTTACTTATTTCACTGTTAGACAATTTCTCTACTTATGTATGAAAAATCAGTTAACCTTAATTTATCCTTAATCGGCTAGGATTGTCTCTTATTCAGACACCGAGAAGTACCTGAATGCTTAGCGTTTAGTGAATAAAGACTCTACTTTCTTCTGAGTTGTCAATGTCACAAAACTTAATACATTAAGATAGTTGGTAGTAAAGTGTATAGTCTTTCAAAATAGAAAGGTACAATTTTTCACATCACAGTTGCTTTACAAATCTGGTTAAGTACGATCAGACACCGAATCAAAATTTCGGATACTGGACAAACTTTTTGTAGAGCTGTTTTTGACACTGAATCGGATAAGTATTTCGATCCATAGACTTTTTATAATCCGGTTTTCAAGAAAAATGGTGTTATCGAGACTAAAATTCTTTTATCCGATATAATTCTTTTCTTTTACAGACAAACATTTGATATACATCATATAGTTTAACAGCAGGAAATAAGCTTAATTCGACCATGATTTTATTCAGTACAGATGTCAAACTGAATCTATTCTCTTGGTTTCTAATAGTTCATTTTCTTTTGGGCGAGACATTCAAAACACAAATGTCTACACAAAAGCTTACCTTATTAGCTGTGCTTTAGACTTTTCTCATTTCGAGTGTGAGAAGGGAGGTGTGTTCTGAAGAATGAAAGGGCTTCTGTTGACGGATTTTTGCGATAATTCCTCTGGATGGAAGCAAAACTTGCAGGACTGTAATCTACCGACTCTATGTATCGTTCAATGCAATTATCTCTGTAGATTACAGATAAGACATCAGTGTTACAGAAAAGTCCACATTTATTCAATAATGTAGATATTTGTCTTTGCAGAAAATGAAAACTCAAGACATTAAACAGTATTTAGCGCAAATGCTAGCAGAATTCTTTGCTACGTTTTTGTTAATTTTGATTGGAAACGGAAGCGTTGCGCAATTTAAATTTACTGGACCACCCAGACAATCGCACCTAGCAGTGCAAATAACTTGGGGTGTCGGTGTTTATACGGCTCTCATGGTAGCTGGACCAATTTCAGGTACATGATCCTTTTTACATCATCCACACTCACTCAGTGTTGATCATTTTATTAGGTGCTCATCTAAATCCAGCTGTTAGTATCAGTTTGTGTACATTGCAGAAACTGAAGGTATTGCAGTGCATCCTTTATGTTATCGGACAAATTATGGGAGCCTTCATGGGTTCAGTTTTGGTATTTATTGTTTATAGTAATTTATTCAGTCAGTATGATGGTGGAATAAGACAGATCAGCGGTGCGAATGGAACAGCTGATATATTTGTTACATTTCCGTACAATGATGAACTGCCAAACTGGAACTGTTTAATTGATCAAGTAGTTACAACAGGTTTTCTGATGATATTCATTATGGCACTAGGAAGCGATTATAACCATTTGATATCGCAACCAGCTAAACCTTTTGCATTTGTGCTAGTAATCATGGCATTGGGATCGGGATTGGGATTGAACTGTGGAAATCCGGTACGTTAATTGTAGTCTTTAGAGGAAAAGGCACTGTACGAAATTCTGTAAAATTCCCATGCACGATATAAAGATAATTTTTGGGTACATCATGCACAACTTTTTTTGTTAGGTATATTTTGGAAACTCATCGCTAGTTGGAATTTAAGATTGTAATCATAAGGTTAACCTTATCTTCTGAGTTTACATGAGCTACGATTTGTTTTATTGAGACAGTTTAGTATTAGAGGTTTTCGTCATGTTTTCTGATGAATCGTTATTTTCCTACATGCGTTGCATTGAAAGCATCTATAAACTTCTAGCTTACTCGTCAATAACATCAGTTTATTAATTTATGTAAAAAGAGGTCGATACCGATGATAATTTAATGGCGCTGAATTTCGAAGAAAACTGTCTCTTCAGATCAAAATTTCGAGTTGTTCTTATTTCCTGTGTTTTAAAGTAAGTGAAAATCGACGGAATCTAACATCATTTGCTAGCATCTGAGACTAATTGTCTCAGATATTTTTCTATTAAGAGTTTTATGAGTGAACTGCCAGATCATGTAGATCCAGTTTCTCATGTGAAATCAGTTGAAATTCCATGTTTAATTAATATCTGATGGTATTGACTATAATTTTTTAAAGAACAATTGCATGAAGATGACTCCTATCAAATGTCCTAAATGAGGAATACTTGGCGCTGTTTGTTACAGTACTCTTTTAGAGTATGCACATAGTAGGTCACAGAGCTTGCTTAAGTTGTATATACTAATTTAGATGAATCCTGCTAGAGATTTCGGGCCTCGTTTGTTTTGCCTGTTTCTCTACGGTAGAGCTATATTTGAAACGCATCGATATTATTTTTGGGTTCCAATTGTCGGTCCAATTGTGGGAGCCATAATCGGTGTTTGGATTTATGAAGGTTATATACAACTGATGAAAAAGTACGCAGATTTAGGCAGCACAGTTCATATTGAATCAGTCGAACAGCCAATAGATGAAAAACAACCTCAACACCATCACAAGTTGAAAGCATAATTTTCAACTGCAGGTAAGTAATCGTACTCTCTAGCAAAATATATATTGTATATATACTCTAGCTGATGTGTCATGAAACACCACGACAAAGAATACTTGAACATTGCGCAGGAAAGAACATTGATACGCAAACGAAGAAGTAATCTATCAACCGTAAGACACAAAGATCACGTGAATTCGTTCTTGTACATGTTGTTGGGCAAAGACAGACACTGTTTCATTTCTATTTTTCTGTATAGTTAGTTTTAGCTTTTTCATTTAACAGTATGTAATGATAAATTCTCAGCTACGTGCATAGTAATTTTCCTTATTGGATGGCAACGATATGAGACTTTTTTAGAAATTCATTTTACATAGACCTGTTAAAAAACACAGTCACTCTCACGTCTCTTCACCGAGGTGCACGTCTCGGAGGTTTCGGTCGTACAGTTTCTGGTTTCAGATCCGGTAGTTCATTCCTTGATATGACTATTTCTTGAAATTTTTCATGACCAGAAGATCGCATTGGATTTTTTGTCCATTCATTAAATTTTGTTTTACGTTTTATAAGATCATTCTGAAGCTTAGAGTCGATAACTTCTTTATTTTTATCAATAGGTTCACCTTCCAGAAACAGACAGACTTTTGAAATCGTCTCGACGATGTTTTCATTGCATTCACGATAAAATGTAAAACGTTGGGGTAAACTTACTTCCAATGCACTGTGATTATTTGACACAAATGGTGTTTTAGACTATCTTTTAACATGGTTAATACTGGAAGCATCAGTTTCCCCCATTTCACTTAGTATAAAACTACAGTTCTTTCTTTTTTGTTTTTAAAAATGAGGATCTTATCAAAGACTATTATTCGCAGTTCTTTACATATATATATTTGAAAACGTACAAGAGAGAAAAAGAGAAAAGATAGCATCTATTCTCGCTGCAGACTGGTTCTCGAGGTAAGAACAATAACAAACGGTTTTCTAGGGTTTAGTTACGTACGTGTCTCTTTTAGGATGTTCGAGAGATAGGGATAGACAGAAAGCATTCAGTCATTTTTCAATTTGAAATGTGATAGAGTACAAAGTAGAACAGCGTGTGAAGAAGCAGATCTTTCCGAGGAATAATAACAAAGGTATTTATCTTTCATCGCAGCTAAGATTTCTGTGCGAAAACACTTTGAAAACCTTAGCTGAAAAAGTTCAAAGTTTTTTTCTCGATTTAGCAAACAGAATTATACTTCACGAGGTGCGGTTTTTCACGGTGATTCCGAATATATATATATCATGTACGAAAAAAATGTTTTTTGAGTGCGAAAAGGTCAGTTTACCTCAAAAACCGAAGGGTTATGGAAAACCTCTCTAGAACTCTAGCTAAGGTTGCACTATTTTGCGCTAATATCACAGATACAGATGTAGGCATGCACCGGTTACGGTTAACCGTAACCGGTCATACATAACCGTAACCGGTCATAACCGGTCGAACGGTTAACCGTAACCGTAACCCAGGCCGTGAAAAATGAGCCATAAATGACTCATTTACGGACCATATATGGCTCATTTTTAGATCATATCTCTCCCACATTTATCTCATTTATTATATTATAATATAGTGATAATTTTGTCATTTTTCTATATGGACTATAAACGATGGATGCCGTTTGTTTGTA